CGAGCCCGGGGTGCCCCCACCCCGCCCCGCCCCAGCCTTTCCCCAAAGTGTCCAGGTCGCGCGGTGCCCTGGCCGGAGCCAGCGGCCCTGCTTTCAATTGTGCAGCGTCACGGCCAGCCTGAGAAGCGGGGTGGGGGCTCCCCAGCAGACACCCTCTGGGTGAGGGCGCCTGGGGCGTCCGGCCAACCCCTGAGGCACCGGAGCCGGAGGGAGGGGAGGGAGCCGGCGCTGAAAGCAGAGCCATCCCCGCTGCCGGGTTGGGACTCAATTTCCACAGGAATCTCAGGACTGCAAGTTAAGTTTAAGGGGAAGGTGGTGCTCCCTGGAGTCCAATCGCGGGGTCTAGGACCCTGCACCCTAAGATTGCTGAGTCACTGCAACTTTTTTCACCCAGTTTTTCAAAAAGATTTCCTTTACCTGCTGGAGGGATGGATCTCAGAGGGAGAAAAATTGGGCTCGGTTTGGAATCTTTTGGTCCTGAGCAGGCAGACCTGCCAGTCCCATGAACAGCTCCGAAAAGTGTCAGGCGCCTGTGCTTGAGAGTCTTGAGATTTTACCTCTAAAGCGTTGCTCAGGACGTTGGAAGCACAGAAAATCTTAAACAGAACAGCCCGGCGTGTGCTACTCAGACACCAGGGAGGGCAAAGATAAACTGCTTCTTTGTAAAATTAAGTTTTGCGTAAGGAGTTTCGTGGAAAGGTTTTCCTTGAGCAGTGCACTTCAGCTGCTCTGAACAAAAATATTCTTTAATTATTTATTGTTCTCCTGGAGCTGCCTGGCTAGTGATCTGCAAAAGCCAGGTGAGTCCAGCCCCAGGGAATGGCCCCTGCCCTTGTATAGGGTTAGGAGACTTCTGGAGCCCTGTCAGGGCTAGGGCAGGGAACCGGAGCGCCAGAGAGCTGTGCCTCTCAAAATAAATGGAATGCTCTGTTCTGCATTTCAAGGCCTGATTCGGAAGCCAGCCAGAGCCCGCAATACAGCTTCGAGTCTTTACCTCAGAAGATTTGTCTGATCTGTGGAGATGAAGCTTCAGGCTGCCATTATGGTGTCCTCACCTGTGGGAGCTGCAAGGTCTTCTTTAAAAGAGCCATGGAAGGTAGGCGCCTCTCTCCTGGCCCTTCCCTGTGGGCTGGATCGTCAAGTGGCCCTCTGATATGTTCAGATTTTGACCCCCCTCTCTGAAGAGGTGGCGGGCGCCCGTGGCCCCTGGCTAGAGGCTGCCCTTCCCAGCGAGTTTCCTGATGACTCTGGGGGCAGCTTCCAGCTGCTGCATTGCTTGCTGTTCCCTGGTCGTACTCGAGGGCGTTACCATTGCGCAGTAACTTTGCAGCTTGACAGTAAATTGCACTATTTTGATCCTGTCTTTTGTATTTCTATTATCTTAAAGTGTCCAAAGAAAAATGGTGAAAGTAGTTGACATTCTATGTATGTGTGCGTGTGTATTCATACGTATGATGCCGTGACAACGTTTTGCATGATTTAGTCTTTCCCTAGATGCATATTTATGTGATACAAGTCCACACAAACTTTTCCAATTCACTCGTTTTAGTATATTTTTGTAAGTGTATAAGGGGGGTAGGAGGAAAAGTTTAAAAGAAATGAAAAAGCTGGACATCACTGTAATGTAATTTCTTTAGTCGTATTTTACTTTAAGCAAGAATTCATGTTTTTAAAACCACTGACATGGCTTAGCCAGTTGTATGTATGGAAGAGTCGGTTCTCAAAGGCCTAATGTGCCTGGCCATTCCCTTCCAGGTTGGATTCTGGTTTCTCGAACATTCCGTTCTGCATGAATGTGACTTCCTTCATGGTCAGCATCGTATATTTCGTAAATGTACGCGTCCCTTAGGATTCTGTCAAGCCCAGTATATGCGGACTCTGCACCCTATTTTTAACAGTAGACCATCTGATCCCACACACAGAAACCTAGCTGGTAGCTGGCTGCTGCTCAAGTCAGACGTTGTGTGACGAGTGGTACGTTGAGGGTGGTCCGCGCAAGCAGGGATGTCATGAGCGCCCTTTCGTTCTTGGCAGTTCAATTTAAAAATGTGTCCCTAGAGCCGGGGGCACCCCAACTGTCAAATACAAGTGCCTCCTCGCATTCACCATCAGAATTACACCCCAAATCATTTTAAAATGCTCTCCCAAGTGTCCTCTTGGAAAGCATCTGATGGCACAGTCCTGTTCTAGGCTTGGAGACGAAATGAAAATCCATTACTCCGTGATAGCTGCAGAGCTGTTGAGTCACTCGTGAAACCAGAGCGGGTTGCCAGACCATATGAGTAAGCTCATTCACCAAGCAATTATTTTATACCTATTTGCGCCAGTGACACTCTCCCCCCACTTTACCTCTCTGCCTTACGATGAAAGGCGGCTAACAATGGCTGCCTCTGTGCTTGCATAAGGAGGGAATGAATTAATTCAGGCGGAGTACTTCGAAGGAAACCTGGCTTGTCATCAGCTCCGTGGGTATCACTGTTTCCTTAAGGCACTTGTAACGGAGTTAGGACCCGCAGGTGAGAAATATGCAGGCAGAAGAGACCCCACGAATGCCCAGAGAAGCGATCCCAGAAGTATTTCAGATCTGTGGGGCTTGTGCAATTGTGTGCTTGGGCGGTTAGGGGTGGGGGGAGCTTAGGGTGGGCAGTGGGTGCTGTGCAGGGGGTGGACTTCCTGTGGGCAGTGAGACACAAGTGAGCTTCCTGACCTCTCGCACGGAGGGAGCGCTTTAAGTGCATGTGTTCAAGAAAGAATAAACACGTTAAGACTACTCTGGCTAAAAGTTTCTGACTAAAGGTTTTAGATTTATATTTGGAAATTGTAAGAGTTAAAGGTTAATAGTTGAATACCTGGGGTCTAGTGATTAAGACAAGACTATTGAGAAGGTTCTGGAAGCTTTCAGTAGTGAAAAGGATAAGTGGAAAGACCTTTGCAGTTGGAGAGGACTGCAGAGTTCGAAACCTCACAGTGGCGTGGGGCTGTGGTGAGCCGCGGCAGTGCGGATGCCGGGGTGTCCTGAGGTTGGGGTGTCCGGAGGCCATTGGCCCCAGCAGGGGTATTCGCGTTGCCAAGCCCGGTAATGGTGCTGGAAGCATTTTAGAGTGATTTCTGCAGGCCAGTGGCTGTTTCAGTGTTTTATGGGCTTTAATTCATTTAATCCTTATCCTAAAGATAGTATTTTCCACGTTCACTTTACGAGTAAGAAAACTGAGACCTAGAAGTGTTAAATTGTCTTAAAGTGGGGAAGTGGCTTCAAGCCCAACTGGGGGACCCCGAATCCCTGCTCTTGGCCACTCTGCTCCCTTTCTCTTCAGGCAACGTGGTTTAAATTTTAAAGGAGAACAATAGAAGGAAACTCTGGCCCAAGGGGTCAAACATTTACAAGGTGCGAGTGGTCAGAAGTGTGGCCGGTGAGTGGGCAATGAGACCATCACGCTGAGGCAGCAGTGAGAGGACATGACTCAGGGTCTAGGCTAGATTCCCTGTGTTGCTGCAAGTCACCAGTGGGGGAAGATAACGGCGCTAAAACCACCCAGGAGAGCTGTTTCCCTGGCAAGAGCCAGGCGGCAGAGGAGGTAGAGAAGAAAGAAGCCGCTCTTTTCTGGGTCCAGGACTCGGGAGCGACGCCCTCTCCTGAGCCAGCTAGCAAAGCGTGCAAGAGACCCTGCTTTCTTTACCATGGCGGGCGCGAGGCACACGGGGTCAGGAAGCGCCTGAGCCCCTTCGAGGACCAGGAGTCAGCATGACCCGCCAGCCTCAGACGCAGCTATCGACCCTGCGCTGAACAGGGGCGGGCAGTGCCGCCTTCCAGGGCTCAGCTGGCAGAGCCGCGGCCGTAGAAAGGAGACGGTCACTTCTCAGCGGGGCCTCTGCCTGCGCCGTGGCTGGCCCGGCCCTGCGGGCATTAAACACGCGGTAAGCAAATTCAGGAAATAACTTGGCCAGTGAACCATCATCTTGACAGATAATGTCAAGCTGTTTCCCTTTGGTGCTTTGTAGCGGGGCATTTGCTGTGAGTCCAGCTGATGGACTAGACTGGCCAAATGCTGTCACTCAGCGAAACCTGTACCACCAGGCTAAGGGGGTTCATGAACTCCTAGTTACGTCACCGTCTTCATTTTCTTCCAACTTTACTGGGTGAGGCTGACAGAACTCTAAGGTGTTTCCAATGTGCCACATGCATTTTTGTGTCTGTGTTCATGGGCTGCAGTGTTTGTGCCTCTTTTTTTTTTTTTTTTTAAGATTTATTTATGTACACAGAACTGGGGTACAGGCCAGAGGTGCAGGGGCGGTGAGAGCCTTCACCAGAGACAGAGTGGGGAGCAGAACAGGCCGACCAATGAAGCACACTGCTGAGGGGAGCAGCGGGCGGGTCAGGAGAGGTCTGCTGGGCCCCTGGGTTACCGCTGGGCGGGGATCGAACTCATGCTGCAGCAGCTTTAGCTTCTCAGTGCGGTGCTTTAACCTGCTGCACCCCCAGGGAGGGCCCAGTTTTCGTAGCTCTCTTGTCTGGTTTTAGATTAGGGTCACTTTGCTTCACAAATTCTTTGTATTTTTTAGAAAAGATTATGGATAATTACTATGTCTTCCTTCAATGTCCGGGAGACATCAGCAGAGAATTCATCAGTGCCTGAGGCTTTGTTTTGGAAGGTTTTTAATTATTGATTTCCTAATAGATGTGTCGAATGTTACCATTTCCATCTAAGCTTCGGTTGTATGCCACAACTCGTGATCCTTTGTGTTTTCATTTTCCATTCATTCAAATATTTTAAAATTTCCCTGGAGATTTGTTCTGCCAATTTTATGTTAGTTTAAAACGTGTTGTTAGGTCCCCATGTCGTTGGGGACTTTCCAGTAGCCTTGCTGTTATTAATTTCTTGCTTAACTCCATTGTGGACGGAGACCAGACCCCATGTGAATTCTGTCCTCTGAGGCTGCCAAGTTGTATTTTACGACCCAGGATGTTTTCTGTGCTGGCGAATGTTCTGGGTGAGCTGAAGAAGAACGTGTGTTCTGATGCGTTTGGGTGAAGCTGTCTCTCGGTGTCTGACGCCAGGCTCTTGTGGTGGTCTGACTCGGTTTCTCCCTGCTGCCCGGCCCACTTCCTGGCGGGGCGTGGGAGCAACTGTAATCACGGTTCACCTGCTTCCCTCGCGGCCCGGCCGTCTTTGTCTCACGAGATGTTGATGCTTTGTGGTTGGACACTTACCCGTTGGGGATGGGTTGTCCACCTGGAGAGAACTGGCCCCTCGAGCATCACCAACATCCTTGCCTATCCCTGATAACCGCCCTTGCCTCGAAGTCTGCTTTGCTTGTGCCTTCAAACTGTCACTGACAAAATCATAAATCATTTTTCCTTTCGTTAGAGTTCATGCTTTCTCATCTGTGGTGGCCTAGCACGTCATCTAGCAATCCCTCACACCGTCATTTCTTTGAAGCTATCTGAGGACTTGAGGAGACATTTGCCAGCTACATTTTAAATTGAATTTTCTTGCCAATAGCGTCTACATTAGGGCAGTTTCCCTGTTACCCTAAAATAAACATTTAGAAATTCACTGGACTTGACTTCTAACCTGCACAATAATAGTGCTGAGAAATCAGAAATCGGATCATCTGGTCTCAAAGTGCAGGTCTCTCAGTTTAATGATTCATATTAGTTTTAAGCTCAATTGTATCTCGTGACAGTTGAAGTAAGTCTCTATGGGAAGAGAAGTGGCCAGGGAGACAGCCCTTAGTGTCGCCTGCCCAGCACGCGCTCACCGAGGTTCCCAGGGTCCCGCACTCCTTAGCACCCGCAGCTTCGCCCACCGAGGCCCGGGGGGTCTGTGCGGGGCTCACCCGGCCCACCGAGGCCCGGGGGGTCTGTGCGGGGCTCACCCGGCCCACCGAGGTGGCTCTGCTGTTGGCTCTGACGACTGAGGTGCAGCCCCCACTCTCCTTTGCAAACTAACACGCTGGCAGCAGGGCTTAAGGCCGGAGGTGCTCA